TTAAAATCGCTATTTCTTCGAAAATAAATTAAAAAAAAAAATCCCGATACACGTGTTCGCTTATTTTATATCTACAATTGGTAAAAAAAGTTTGAAGCGATTTAAAAATGTCGAAAAAAAAGTGTTCGGTTTGTAAAAGAATGCCTCATATAGTAAGCAACTTTACTTTGTTTCATTGGGACGCTTACTATATCTGAATATGTTATTCCTACATTTATATAATAATGATGTCGAAACGTCTGTAATTTAATTTATGCTCATGATTTATGAAGAAAATTACTTACGTGTCCTCTACTATCTATGCCATCGATGTGACAGTTTTCCTAACCTAATCATCAACCACAGATCAGCCTCAGCCACAGAACACATGTGTGATGTGACCATGATAAAAAGAAAGGTGTATCGTTCCCGTGGATGCGCAGTCGTTCATATTCTCGACCAATAAGGATTGGGTCCGAATGCTAGAAAGCAATATGGCCGCAAGTGTGAAATCAATGAGGTTATGTGTATGGTGCCCGCACAGTGACCGCATGTGTGCCGTTTCGAAAATCGAGCTAAAGTTACGAAAGTAGGAGCCACAATATATTTATATATTTATAATTTATTAAAATGTAGTTTGCGTTGTGAAATATAGATTGTAAAAATGTAGTACTATGTAACCCTGCTATAATGTTTTGTTTGATTATAGAAATGCCGGCGTGCTGTATAATAAATTGTACCAGCCGCACAGATAATACACACAAAATAAAATTATTTCGTTTCCCAAAAGATAAAAGCATCCGTCAACAATGGATCAAAGCGTGTAGACGAAATGAAAAAGAAATAAAAATTAATAGTGGTAAGTATGCACATGCATATACGCACACGTATTACATATTACATGCGTATTACATTTGCATCCTCGATATTTATTGTAGCAAGAATATGCAGTTTACATTTCGCAAATGAATGTTTCGAAATGAAATGGACGGTAAAATAAATTAATCAATATGTAATAAAAAGTATTGAGAGTATGTGAGAGTATTTGTGTAACATATCTTCTACCTTACATATACCATTGTTATATACCATTATTATATACCATTATATATACCATATTATATACCATTATATACCAATGTTATATACTATTTAAATTAATTATTGAGTGAGACATTCGAATGTCATAGTTGCTAATTTGCTTTGGCGTTCACGCTCTGTAAGTCTCTTCCGCTTGTAATTAGCGATAACATAATTAATAACATAATAAATAATAATAACACCAACAATAATAATAATAAATAATAATAATTAATAATAATAACATTATTAATAACATAATAACATAATTGTAACATAATAACGGAACGTCCCATATGTGATCCTACTATTTTGTGTTCAAATTGCGCGCGTGTATTTGGACCCCAATTTCATTGGCTCTGCTCATCGAGCCGCCGCCGCTATGCGCAACGATACACCTTTCTTTTTACATCATGGATGTGACCATGCACATTGCCAGCGCCATATTTGCCTCTAGCGCCGAAAAATCGAAAAGGACAAATCCCCCACCCCATAGCCTTGTCGACGATGACGACGACGACGTTTATTAAATGAAAAGTTTCAATTTCGGATTTTGCATCATTTTACATCGCAATATCTCCGCTCGTAGAGCACGTAGAGAAAAAACAAAAACACTTTCATTATATATTCCGACCGGATGCCATCGATTGAGCACACTTAGAACTCAATTGGGACAGCCGTTATTGAGATCCCATAATCGCCGTCTGGAAATCTTGACAGATTCGCGTATAGTATCCACGGCAGTGTCGCTGCGCTTGGCTTAGCGCCGAGACACTACCAGTGTCTCCAGATTTCAGAAAGGAAAATTGCAAATTTTCAAACTCCTGCAAAAAGAATTTCGATTAGCTAATGTCGTGAAAACTTTCAATAACGAAAATTCAACCCAATCAGAAGTAAGAGATGCTGGTGAAACTTTTTTTGATGGTATGCGGTGCCAAGAAATTTCGAAATCTTTCGCTTGATTCATACAAATTTGACCAATTTAAAAATTCACTGCAAAAACAAAAATCAAGGCTTGAATTATTACCACCAACATCAGAGGCAGCTGTACAACATTCATCACGAGTTTTCTACCAAATTCAGTTATGGCTTGGCAATAACAAAAATCCGGAACAGTGGGGATGGAAAATCAACGGTTCGTTGCAACCTATTACAACACTCCTTCAGCCAGCACCAGAATCGATACTACAACTTATCTCCGGCAACTGTACATCTGATTGTTCTTCGAGGTGTGGGTGCAGAAAAGCAGAGTTAAAATGCTCGGAAAATTTGTAGACATCGTCAGGGAATGCAGTGCCTCAATGCATACATGGAGCCAATTTGCGAAAATCTTGACGACTCCGAAGATATAGACTCAGTACACGAGCATGCGGGCGAAGAATTAGAAGATATCTTTTACGAGGCAGATGCTACCGACTCCGATTTTCTTTAGGTATAAAAGATATGCATGCAATATAATCTAATATTTCAATCTACTTAAAAATCGACACTTATGCAATTAATGTGTATTTTTTTACAGAATATTACTCACACCTAGTGAAGCAGTTGTATTAAGAAAACAAATGTACAACTGGATGAAAATGTTTATCACAATCGAATAAAGTATCGAAAGTAATCGAAACAGACTCAGCGACCTCGAAAACCTCAGAGTACGAAATTTCAATTTATAACTTTCTATATTTTTCCAGATATCAAATTTATTCGAATAAAACACCATTTTTCGATTTTGTTTGTTTATTTCAACAATATTATTAACAGAAAAAAAATTATAGTACTGTATCTTATTATTTTAGATCTTAGGATGCTAAATTTACCAAACTTGTCAATATTGATAGTGATTTACATGGAAAAAATCACAAAATTATATTATTTACATGTGGGTCTCTAAGAGACCCGTTGTGCCGCAAAGAGTTAAGCGTGGCCACTCCAGCACACCCTTTTTGGCTAGGGACTCTTTGGTTTCTTGAAATATATACATTTTCAAAGGTCTATACCAAGTTACAGCCACTTTGCAATTTTTTTGTTTATTTTGGACAATTTGCCTGTACTATATAGTGCCTGCTACACTACACTAGAGTGGTGCACACTATGGTGTACACTTTATCATTATTATGCTAAAACTCTGTTCCCGCTTGACTTTTATTTTCAAATTTTAAATGTCACTGGTTCTACACGGTCTCTTTAAGACGGTGTAGCAAAATCCCACTTCGTGCATAAAATTTGCACTACACCGTAGCCACGGAAACACGGTACACCGAATGAGTTCGCTTACCACCAGCCATGGAAACACGGTACACTGTCTGAGTATTGCACTAGTGGGCGATAGCGCAGCCAAGAGAAAACGCTATTAATGTTTGTATGATTCTTATGTGAATTTATATACCAGGTGTGTAGTCCCCAGAAACGCGTGCTGAAATGATTTTTCGGTCTTGAAACGCTAACTCTAATGAACTACCGCAGTAATATCACGAGTTAAATTGACTGGCAATTTAACAAATTTTTGATGCTTATTTACATCTTCGAAACGATCTTAATAATGTTGAATGACATATTCAAATCTGTAAATAATTAATTCTTATTGCGAAAAATATTACCTCGGTCGGGAGTCGAACTCGGATGTCTTGCATTCCGTGCACGGAATTTTAACGTAATAAATTTAACATTGTAAGAAGGAAGGCAAAAGTTTCTCCTAATTGTAATATGCTTTGGACATTTGCTGGGAAACTCACAATCAAGAGATTTATGAACCAATTATTATTAAATGTTTTAAATTCAAACTTGATTAGAATACATTTTGACGGATTTAAATTGACTTTACATATCTGGAGATACGGTAGTGTCTGGACGCTAAGCAAGCGAAGCGTCATGGCGCGAGATACTGCCGTGCTCGTTTACGCGAGCCGGCAAGTTGCGGCAGATCTAGAGACATGATCTCAGTAACAATTGAACTGATGAAGTTCTATACACGCTCAATCGATAGCTACGGCTCGGGTTGTATAATGAAAGTGCTTTTTTTTTATGTATTCTACGAGCGGAGATATTGCGACTCGAATACTTTTGAATCTCTGAATTTTATCATCATTTTAAGAAACATCGTCATTATTATCATCGACCAGCAGAATGTACGGCTGCAGCGTCTGGTGCTAGATGGCGCTAGAGGCGCTGATCGGATACCTCAATACCTGTCGAGTTATGACCACAGATATCTAGATTGCTGATGTCCTTTCCCCCACCACACATTCGTGTCATCTCGCGCCATGTTAAGTGAGAAAGTTCCGACGCATGCGCACTAAATCGTTTCGTGGATTAATACAACGAATTGTTTAAATAATTTCTCAATATACGTTTCAACAAAAAAAAAAATAAAAATATGTATTGTATTTATATTTTATAAAAGTCTCTCTCAAGAATATTAGAACTAAGTTATTATCGCTGAAGTTTATGTAAATCAGGTAATTTCTAGGTTAATTTTATACATATATATAACATTATTGTGAAACAATCCAATAATCATAATCAATATTTTTAAAACATTCCTGTCTTCAATTAGGAATAAAATTATTGTAGTAATAGATATTAACAGTCTAGTACAATGCATACATATACTTTATATGTGGCCCGTATTCAGAACGCGCTTTTTCATTGCGCATGCGTCGGAACTTTCTCACATGGCGATTTATTGACGCATTTTTTCGCGTATCAGCAATCTAGATATCTATGGTTATGATGTTTAGTGGCTCGCGACGGTGTGCGCGGTGCGGGGCGTTTACCAAGCAATCCCAACTCCCCGCGTGCTAAACTATCTATGACGGATATTTGGCGCTTTAGAATTTAATACCTCGATTGCAAAAATTGGGAAAGGGTCGAAAACTTTTTGAGAACAAAGCTAGGAAATGACAAGCGATTTATTCGTTATCGATCTCATTTATAATATTTAACATTAAAAGGAGATCGAACGGAGATGAAATTATATACCGGTATTTAACTAAGGTAGTAAATGGTAATGCCAAAGCGATTTATTTGACCTTGATCTTTATTTGTTTATAACTTAATATTTAACAAAAGGAGATCGGATGGAAACGAAATTATACGCTGGTATTTGTTAACCAAGCTAGGAAATGATAATGAAAAAGCAATTTAACTATATTTGTTCATAATTATTATTTAACAAAAGGAGATCGGAGAGAAATGAAATTATATACTCCCAGTATTTGGAAAAAGATTGAAATAGATTGAAATAGATTCATTTGGTCATTGCTGAATCCAAATTCTTGATTTTTTTAATCTATAACAAAATCAAATGTATCTCGTTTAATACCAGTTGTGAAAATACTCCCCTAGATATTTTCGTATTGCGTAGGTACTCAAATTATAAGTACATATTCCGTTTTCATACCGATGCACTAATATATTTAAAACATTTAGTTTATCAGAATAAAATAATTGTTTTCTAATAATAATTAAATGAAATAAACATTGTAATGTAGCATTGGCATAGCATGAAATGTCAGTATTTTGAAAACCACGTATAACCCAAGAAGTATTTTGTCGAACTTTTTTATCTGACTGTTGAACGGAAGTTATTATTTTCGGTAATGTCCATGGCACATCTTTAATTTTACGATAATTCTTTTGAAATAGTAATAATAATTTGTGCTTCGGGTTTATGGAGTCGTTTAGCCGATTATTATATTCAATAATTGCTTCTTCACTAGTTATTATAGATAAAGAATCATGATTAATCAAATACGCATTAAGGTTCACTTTCGTTGCTAATTTTACTTTAATTTTATATTAAAATTAGAATTCTATGAAGGTATTGTGAACAGCAGCTTAATGGATAAAACGTAGGCCCGTATTCAGAACGCGCTTACAATGATGTTAGCGCGCTAACATACTATACTTTACGTCACGTATATTATAGAATTTCAGAGATAAATATGCGCTTTTATCGATAAAAGCGCGTTCTGAGTACGGGCCGCTATGTATATGTTACACGTACGACTGAAAAAATTTGAAAAGCTGAAATGGTCCCTTTTTGGGAAACGATCTCCAGATCTCGGTATCGGCTGCACCAATTTTATTCGAACTGATCGCAATCGAAAGATACCGACGACATATAATAAAAGTGTTTTTAGATCTTTGATTGCGGCTTTAGTTTCTGAGTAATTTTAATCTAAAGAGTATATAAAAATTTAAAACGGGCCGCTCTTGACCGCTTAACGTGTGAACGTCATTGCGTATATATTCATACCGTTACCAAATTCGCGAGGCTATAAACGGCATGAATATATACGTAATGATGTTCACACATCAAGCGGCATGTTTTATATTTTTATACACTTTTAATTTAAAAGTATAACTTATTAAAGTATTAAAGTAACTATACAATGAAATGTCGACACATAATACAGTGCTAATGAAACTATAGATAAATAAGTCGGTAAATGACAGCAATAAACGAGTGCCATCTACCGTCGAAAATATGAAAAGGAGATGACTTTATGAGGCGACGTATCTTACATAAAATTTTGACATTTCGGATTTCGCATCACGATATCCGTTCGTGGGGCACGTAGAGGTAAAATAAACGTTTATTATATAATTCGAACCCAAGCTGTCGATGGAGCTCATATTCAGAACTCGATCGGTCTCTAGCCTTTATTAAAAAAACCAAGAATTTCGGATGCTCGAATGCCCGCAACTGGCGGACTCGTGTAAAGACACGCATGTCTCGCGCTGCGCGCCCACTTGGGGCGAGACACTATCGTGTTTCTTGATAATAAATTTGCTCGGAGTCCATAATGATTGTATTGCTCCAATCCATTATATGATTGAGTTTCAACATATGTTGCGATATGATCGACAAATTATTTGAAGATTTTTTATAGTCATTTTTATGTTTTTTAAAGTCGTGTATTCAATTTCCTTTTAGTTTGTCCAATATATGTGCACTCACAATCAAGGCAATTAATTTTGTAGACTACATTAGATTTGTCGTCTTTTTTGATTTTGTCTTTGCCTGTTTTAATCACAAAATTTAACTACCGCAGTAATATCACAAGTTAAATTAACTGGCAATTTAACAAATTTTTGATGCTTATTCGCATCTTCGAAACGGGGTATGCAAGAGATCCGGGTTCGACTCCCGGCCGAGATAATATTTTTCGCAATAAGAATTAATTATTTACAGATTTTAATATGTTATTCACTATTATTAAGATCGTTTCGAAGATGCGAATAAGCACCAAAAATTTGTTGAATTGCCAGTCAATTCAACTCGTGATATTACTACGGTAGTTTTAATAGAGTTAGCATTTCAAGACCAAAAAATCATTTCGGCGCGCGTTTCTGTGGACTACATTAGTATATAAATTCACATAAGAATCATACAAGCATTAAGATCCAGCTAGACCGTTTAAGGCTTTGATTTCTATAGTTTGTGTTATTACATATACGTTCCTATAATATATTACACAAAATTTAAGTTATTAATTGGTTTATAAGCAATATTAAAATTGAATTTTTTTGTGATGGTAGCGAATTTTTCGGAAATTTTATTAAAATAAGGAACAGTAAAGAATTTTTTATCATTAATTGATTCCGAATTTACATTATTTTTGTGTTTATTAATATTTTTAAAATTGTCGTTAAAGGACAGAGTTTTTATTCTACTGTTAATCGCTTGTCTGTTCTCAGCTTTGTTCTCGAAAAGTTCTCGACCCTTTCCCAATATTCACAATTGAGATATTAAATTCTAAAGCGCCGAATATCTGTCAGGGATAACTTAGCGCGGGGAGTGGGGACTGCCTGGCAAGCGCCTCGCACCGCGCGCGCACATCGTCGCGAGCCACTAAACATCATAACTCGAACGTGCAGGCATCCGATCATATAATTATTAGAAATATTAACTGATGTCGGCTCACATTGACATTTCCTTATTACATCAACATTTTTGTTGTTAATTTATTTGGAGAACCTTATATTTCTATATTTATTATAAATATCGAGGTATTAAATACAGGGAATGGAAATAACTCGTTACTCGTAACAAGTTACAAGTTACTTTTTTGATAACTTTACTGATAACTGTGTTAAAGTTATAATATATAAAGTTCTTTTCTTTGGTAACTATAACGGTAACGAAGTTACATTTTTTTAATAACGGTAACGAATTTTATAGTTACTTTTATCGTTACTTTGTACATGATTGGATACGATACGGCACAAGCCATTTAGACTATAAAAAAATTTCTTTACACATATAATAGATGTAAAATAGATTACATGATTAGTCCTGTATATATAAACAATCATGCAATTTTACAGAAATTATGTAAGTTCACAAAAATTATGTAAATTTTATTGTGTAAATATATCTTATTTTATATTGAAAATTATATAAATTGCAGGATATTTTGAATAGTTTCTGTAATTATTCAAATTTTAGTAATATTACGTAATATAACAGAAATTTTTTGCGTATTGCTATTAAATGTATAATAGTATATAGTGCGAAATATAATGTCATATTATCGTTCCTGTAGCTACACATACACATTGTAATTGTATTTCCACAATCTGCTTAGTTACAAACCAAGAAATTATTTTTATTTGCATATTGCAAATTTTTCGAACGTGTGGACGTTTACAACTATTATAGTGGTAAAATTGTCCACTATAATAGTTGTAACTTTACACTACAATTTTCACAGCGCATAGCGCTTGAGACTAAAGAAGCCCCTAGGCCCGTTCGCTGTGATTGGCAGTCGTAGATTTTAAAAAAAATAACGGAAAAGTAACGAAAAGTTGTTTTCTCAAGTAACGGTAACTGTAACGAGTTATTTTTAAAAATCGATAACTAGTAACGGTAACTTGTTACTTTTTCTACTCGGTAACGAGTAACTGTGATTTGTTACTTTTAAAAAGTAACTTTCTATTCTCTGATTAAATATATATTCAAAATGTGCTAAACCTAATTACTTCAAAATATAATTGCAATAAAGACATTACAAAAATAGCTATATATTTAGAATTCGAAAATAGCTAGATATTAATTCGAATACGACATAGACAAAATTAGATTATTAATAGATTAATACACGTATTGTGCACTTACCGGATGGATGTTTCGGCACAAAGTTCAGGGTCCTGGTCTTGCTACGTAATCCTTCGCCAGTACCATCGATCCAGATATATTTTGCCTGGATCGCATTTTCCGGTTGGGGTAGATCAAGATACTTTTGCAATAGAGTTTTGTCTAACGCCGCATTTGGCGAATCTTTCAACATACTGCGCGACATAGTAATACTGTAATAAAAGCAAGAATATTAAAATAAATAAATGAAATATACATCTCGAATCGCAATCATCCTTTGTGAAATCATCTTAATGAAGAAATGGTAAGAATTAGAAAAGAGATAATCGTGAAATGTAATTTAACCGTGTAATCAAACGATGGTTTGTGGGATCATCTTTTTATTAGATGGTGATTAAATTCTCTCCTCTCTCTCTCTCTCTCTCTCTCTCTGTATATATAGAGGAAAGTCGCCGATACTGACATAGGTCTCTTAAAGTGACATTCCCTTATTTTTCGGAAACTAACTATTGCACTTATTAATACTAATAAAATCATGTTCTGTTTAGCTAATTGAAGAAGTAAAAAAACTCATAATTTGTAGGTTTGTGGCTTGTTTTTATATCAAATCAGCTAAAAACGAATTCTACATATGCGAAAATAAAATTCTTACGATTTTCTTTTGCAAATTGTGAGGTTTAAATAATAGTGACTATAATATTAATAATATTACGTCATTTTAAATACTTGTACTTTCTGAAAGTTTTATTTATATTATTTTTTTTCTCAGTCTTTTCATAATACGATTTTTAATTTAAAATTGGGGTGCAGCGTAAACCAGATCATGAGCTAACTTAATCTTGATAATGTTGCTTTATAGTATCAAATAAATCTATTGGAGCTGAAGGCAATCGTACATATGGGGCATTCTTTTACAAACCGAACACTTTTTTTGTCGACATTTTTAAATCGCTTCAAACTTTTTTTACCAATTGTAGGTATAAAATAAGCGAACACGTGTATCGGGATTTTTTTTTT